AAACCCACACGTAGGTCACTGAGATGGCTTAAGTCACTTCTTGCTGCAACCGTATGGAAGAATGGTGACAGAAAAATGTGGCTTAGAATCTCTGTGGGGGAGATAATATCAGAGATTGAATTAGCTGCAAGGGCTATTGGGCTCTGGTCTGGTGAACCATTTGGGCAAATAGAAGAATCAATAGGACATTCCAAGTGGCTCGGCCTCTTGGGAATTGTGTGGCTGCCCTTGTGACACTCTGCCCAGAGAGCCTCCGATAAGCTATTTAATTTATAATGAGTTTAAATCAGAGGGAGCTCTTGGCTGTGACTACCAAATTAACCAAACGCAAAGAAACGTTACATCCTGTCGATCTCTCCAGTTTACAGAAGTTCATCTTTTTTCTCATCCAATTATATACCATTTGGGGCAAAAGTTTTCCATACAACTTTCTCCGCTATGGATGGTTTACCGTTTAGCTAAGGAATGAGAAAGAGCTGAGAGAGGGTATAAAGGAAGCTGCTTGTGGAAATTAGGGATTTTGGATCTTTCCTGGAGATTTTCATTTTCTGCTTTTTGTCTACACTGACAAAGAAATAACCCGGTTGTGGTGCTATTGTTTCTGGGCCCATGGGGTCAGGGAGCCTGTAGACAGAAGCATGGCTGGTTTCATGGTGACCCCAAATTAGCCTGCACTTCAAAGCACTTCCTCTTTTCTCTGCATGAAGAACTCTTTAAAGAAGTCCTTTTTCCTTTTACAAGGTGAACGCTTCAAAGCACGTGGGAGGAGTATTTCCTTCTTGGTGTTTACCTTCCAAAGGTGAGGAGTTCATAGACATTTCTCTGTTTGTACAGTAGAACCTAATCACTGGCTTGGAGGCGAGGGCTCTCCTTGGTCCTCTCCCACCGTCAGGAGTTTCCCGTACTCATTTTTCACTTGCTGATGCACTGTAGACTCCGTGCCAGAAACCAAAAGGAAAAAAAAAAAGCTGCATTAAATCCTTCTGGAGCATATTTCTGTCAACCCCGTGCATTACTGAAAAAAGAACTCGGTCCTGTTTTTAAAGCCTTCTTTTCTTTTGCAGGTTACAAAACGTGCACCGAGTGGCCAGGAATGACAGGCGAAGTGGGTGGGTGGGAAAGTGCACCTATTTTCTCACTGTGCATGGAGGAAGAATGACTTCTACATAGTAATTTTTTTTTCAGTACTGGGGATTGAATCTAGGGCTTGTGTACTAAACTACTGCTTCCTCAGTCCCTTTATTTATTTTATTTTTCTTTTGAGACAAAGTTTTCCTAAGTTACTCAAGCTCGGCTCAAGCTTATGATGCTCCTGCTTCAGCCTTCCAGAGTCCCAGGATTACAGGTGTGCACCACCATGCCCTGCTAAAGAAGACAACTGTGGAGAGTTCTACAAGATGTTTAACACTGAGCATGGTGGTGCAAGCACAGGTCTGCAAACACCCAACTGGGGTCTCTAGCCGGTGGTACATCACCTTGTGCCACCTGTAACCTTTTACTGCCATAGACGTCTTGTGATGCCAAAGTCAGGGACTGTAGCTTTGTACTCCAGAAACTGCTCCCGAGGAAGAGAACGGTGGCTGGTACTTTGTAAAGAATTTTTAAAAGGTTTGTATTTGTATGGAGAGTTTTAAATTTTTAAGTGAAATTGGATATTTGCAAATAACTCTTACCAATTTTAGGGATATTATTTAGCAAAATCAGCAAATAAAAAATTAAAGGCAAGATTTACATACACCTTATGAATGTCACACTCAAAGTCAAATGGAAAAAAATGTACCGAAATGCTAGTTAGTGATAGGACTAATTTTTTTTAACACATTTTGGTAGAAAAATTCTACTTAAGTTTTAAAACATAACAAAGCAGATTTTCTTTTGCAATGAGTACAAGTCTCTGCCTGAGAAAGAGTATAAAAGCCAGAAGTTAAAAATATTTTAAAGAGTGGACAAATGCCTTAAAATTAAAGATTAGCTACTTTTTGTCAAGCACAGCGTTAGTGTTTCATGCAAATGACCCCAACTTGGCAAACATCTTGCCAGGTGGGTGGGTGAATTTTAATTTCAAATTTGTGGAAAGTAAGTGAGCAGAGGATAGGTCACTTGCTGGAGGTCACAAGTGAGGTCTGTGCCCTTTAGACTCTGAGGCTTCGGGTCTTTCCGTGGCATCAGAAACACCGTCACGCGTCACTCGGTCTTCCCGCTGGCTGAGGGCAAATGCTCAGGCGTTAGAGCCTTTCACAGCCTGAGCTGCAGCTCACCGTCCGCCCTGCGCGTTGCTCTGCAGGGAAATCCACTCGCTCACTTCCCAGGCTTCTGCGCAGACTCTCGGGCCCACGCGCACCTCCCCTCCTTGCCTGGAGGGTTCCCGCACTTCCTTGCTCTGCTCCAGTCGGTGCACCGCCTCTAAACTGCGGGTTCCTGGTCTGCACTTGGTTGTGAAGTTTCGCCCACTCTTGAATTTTTATTGACTCTACTCTCTGCCTGACACCCACTTTGTGTCAGCTTTTATGCCTGGGACCCACTTTTTGTCAGTTTTCATGTTTTTCGTATCATAATTATTTATCTATATATAATTCTTTCTCCACAATAGGTGTTTTTCTGTTGAGATTACGTTGTGTCTATTATCTATTTGTTATGGCAATAGCCTAATGGTTAAGGGAATAGAATGCAGAGTTATTGGTCTGTGGATCCATCCTTTTGAACTGTGCGATCATTTATAAGTTGTTTAATTTCATTCCAGTGTTTTCTAATCTGTAATCTGTAGCTAATAATACTAATGATTTCATAGATTTGTTAATAGAGTTAAATGGCATAGTAACTGCAATGCTTACTGTATTTATAGGGCACAGAAAGCAGCTAGTAAATATTCTTGATACTGTTAGTAATAGTGGATCTGATTATCATTAGAGGTAGCACTTTGATTTACAAACAATAAGCACAGGAAACGGTATATTAAAAAAGAGCAAATTAAACTTTAAAAAAATCTACAGATCTTTTTATATCTCTTATGGATCTTGCAACATGCATAGGCATTTTTTCCACTTAGAATGAGTTTGCGTTTACTTCCTACATTCATAATATTTATTATAGTGCTAACTTAAAACATTGAAACATTCGTAGAATGCATGAGGAGTAAATGTAGCCATTCTTAAATAGTAGCCAAAATAAGAAAGAAGAAAGTAGAGAAAAAAACAAACAAAACAGCTAGAAAATGAGAACGTTTGAAATAATATTGTGATTAGTACTGGAAGACAGATGGGTCGAAACTCTTAGGCAGACTGGCAAATGCGTGTAACAGGTGGGGATGCTGGAGCGCCACGGTCTTTTCCTATCAGCGGCGAGTTCCCCGCGGAGTGATTCACAAGGAATCAGCGGGGTGTAGTAGACTTTCCTCCCCGTCTGTTAGACACCGTGAGTGACTCATGCACAGATCAGAGTATTTGCCTTCTTGGGTGGTTATTAGTAAAATATGACTAATGTCTCCGCACTACTCAGTGATTCTAAAATGTTTTTCACTGTACCAAGATACTCAGTTATTCAAGTCCATGTCTTAGGAACCTTATCAGACAAAACACATGACCTCATCATTCTTCTCTCCTGTGTGTGTTATAAGCAGGGCCCTGGTAGATACAATTCGTTTTCAGCCTCAAAATTTTCCAGAGTCACAGCTAAAAGATAGTTTATAGACTTTAACATGACGCTCCTAGCTTCACAAGAAGACAAGAAAACAACTGTGGAATTTTTGAACCTTTTGGTCTCACCTGGAGTTGGTTCTGCGTGGGCTTGCTCTGCGTGGGGCTTTTCTCCTTCTGTCAAGGGCAGAGGGAAGGGAACACAGGGCCCAGCAACTGCCCTACTACCGAAAAAAGCCGGGCACTGAAAATGCGAATGTGAATTACAGGGGTCCTTGCAACGATGGTCTTACAAAGCCCAGAAACCAGGACACCTTAAAACACGAGTGTGTTTGGAGCAAAACCCAGTAGTTATGAGATGTCTTTCCTATGTAAATTATTATTCAGAACCGCATCCATTATTCCTGCCGATGAGTAGAACACCAGTAACGTAATTAATACCACGTTAAACAACGTATACAGCCCCTCACTCAGAAAAAACTCAGCAGAAGTACTCTTTCAAGAGAACAAGTGCGTTATTCCACTCTGCACAAGGAAATGATTTCGTAAACAGTTCCAGCCATCCCTCTCCAGAGCCAAGTGCAGGTACAATGCATGACAGCTAATCTTTTTTTTTTTTCTACCAGGAATCGAACTCAGAATGCTGCTGCTTGCCAGGTGCTTATGCCACTGAGCTGTATCCCCGGCCCCACGACAGTCAGTCTTGACTCTACTGGAAAGCAAGGGCTGTTACTTCCCTGCCTGATGCCTGTCGGAGCCTTCTCCCGTTTAGGCCGTGCGCATAACTGAGCCCAGCAAAGGAAAGGCTCTTCCAGGTCTGATTGCTGCTTACAGTTCCCCCGTCTGGAGTGAATCTCTTCCTACCCACCTAGCGCTTACTTCCCCGCCCCTCTCTTCTCTTGTCAGGCTGACAACTTGCAGATGTCCAGTGCCCTGATTTCTGGCTTCCCTGGCACACACTCTGCGTGTCCCCTCTGTGACAGCAAGCCCTCCTCACCCTTCCGTGTTCCCGCCATCTACTTCCTTCCAGCCATCACCCCGGGAGCCATCACCTCTAGTCCTCCCTGAACAATTTCAATTTTGGTCCAGATGTTTCTGTCACTCTTAACCCACCCCCAGCTCCAGGGAGAACGCTCACTAGGCACAAGGGAATACGACTACCGTACGTGTCAGTGGGTCTTCACCCAACACCGCGCATTTCTGACGGAGCGTCTACATGTCACTGATGCCTGGTCCTTAGAAGAGTTCAAATAAAGGCTTATCAGTTAGCTAATCGGAACTCCTTCAAGATCGTTTTTATCGTCAAGTTTCTTGGAATGTCAGCCTACCGACTCTTGGCGCTACTGACTTCTAAGTGTAGAGCAGCTGAACCCATAAAATTGGTAATGACAAAACAGTGTGATTATTCATAAACCTGATCTTAATTTAATCAATACACCTTAAGTGAGTGAATGAGTGAATGATGGTGGTATTCTGGGTTAGCTTGGGTTTAAAACCGACCTGGGACACTGCGCGAATGGAGTGGGAGAGTCTGGATATAAAGGTGGAGAGCTCTGCTTGTGAGGGGAGGCCACTGCCGCCCTGGCGGTGCTTCTGCAGCACCCGGCTTGCCTGTTCCTCACTGAGCCATGACTTGGCTGCCTTCCAAGTTCCTCCGTGCCGGCTCGCCACTGAAGTGGAGGCTGGCGTTGGGTGTTTCCTTGTGCAAGAGTTAAGAGGCTAAGAAGAGAGAAACAGGCTGGTGAAGTGGAAGCTTTCTATTTACCAGCAGACTGGAATATCCATTCTTGGCCTAACTTGAATTGGCTGGCCGACTCCTCCTTTGAATGGCAAAAAAATCTTCATTTAATTTGAGTTTTCCTTTGTTTTATGCTTCCAAAGAGCCTCTTATCTTCCTTTGGAAATTTGACTGTAACTTTCATCAAGCTGAAACATAGAAATAAAAAGAAATCATTTCTATAACACTTCTTTCTCCTTATGTTTCCACTTAGCTACAGAAAAAGGTGTGTGAGGGAGATGTGGGTTGGTCACTGGATGTACGAGGATGGAATAAAATTCCTTTAATTTCAGTGTCCTTTGAGCATGCATCGATACACCGGGGATGAGCTAGAGCTCTGAAGGAGGAGTGGGGAGCTGAGGGGAGGCTGGTCTCCTTAAGTGGACCTAACACAGGTGCGATAGGGTGCAGAGGAATGAAGAGCTTGTTCTCTCTCTTCCCTTCAGAAAGGACTCTAGGCCATCACTAGGATGCAGAATGGGACAGAGAGGGAGCTCCTGATCAGTCAAGGAGCTTTTAGTCATGAAGAGGAAAGAGGATGAACAAAAGAGAAAAATACCATTCTACAGCAATAGGGGGAACAGTGGCATTTCTATGGAGAACCAGTTTCTTACAGTGGAGTTTTCTGGAACCTTCCAGGTTAAGGTGAATAAATGATTCTCATATTTTAGCACTTTATGCATAAGGAGTTGTTAAAATGAAGATTCCCAGACTTTAACCTTGAAGTTTTTGATTCAACTATTCAATGTGGCCTAGGAATCTGAATTATTTAAAAAGCCCTGATAATTTAAACACAGGTGATTTATTTCCCATGCTTTGAAACACATCGGCTGTCCTGTTTTTGAGATTTGGCAGTAACTTTGTGGCCTAAAATAGTCATTTGACCTTTTGCATTTCTTTAATGCATAAAGTTACAGTCTATTAATTAAACAATAGCATTTAATTTAAAATATATGCAGAGAACAAAAGACCTATTTTTGTATATCTAAAGTAGATATCATTCATCTTATTGTTGAAAGTTCTATAGTAATGTTGTGCTTTTTCTCCAAATAATTGGCATTGTGACATTCTTCTATCTTCATTTTTTAATGGTTTAATATGATTTTTCTCCCTGTTTCAGCTTCCTATTTAATCTGCTCCTGCCTATTAAATCAACTTTCCTTCCCAGCAAAGACTGAGGTTGCTTTTGTTAGATTAAACATTTTCTTTTATCTGACCTAGCTTTCAGCTACATCTACTTAGTTATATCAATGGCTGGGTAGCAGAAATTGCCAGGATGTCACCCAGTGGGAAAATCAATTCAGGAGAGAAGGCCTAATGCTGTGCATTTGACTACAGAACATCTTTTTTCTTTTTCCGAGCATATCTGTCTCAGCACACCTGGGTATTCCTCCCCAGGGCTAAGAAGAAGTTTGAATTGCCCTGCTCTTAATTAGCAGCATTGCTTTCTCCTTCTATTACAGGTGAACATGAGTCATTCTCTTGAATATATTCCGAGGAGTTAGACTCACTGCAAAAGGATACATAATTGTAAAATAAAGAGGAGGCCAGTGATGAGGTGCTTGAAAAATAATTCCCTTCTATTGTTTTAGGAGTCTGTTAAAATAAATGTTTCTCATGATATAATCCAACATTCAAAGAAGACCTGGGAATTTTTTTGTTCTTTGGATTTGGATGTTTTAAAGAACACCTCCCACCCCAAAGTGTAGCTTGCCTTAGCCTTTGGCTTGAATTTGATTGTTCCTTCTCTGGGTAGTTTGATGTTTTATGAAGAACGCAAACATGTATAGGCTTCACTGGGGCTCTATGTGTGCACCAATTTTTCTGAGAGGATTTCTTAGATTGTGTGAGTTTCTCTATAGAACGTGATATCAAAATGATCAAAAATGGGTGAAGTATTGGTCTAGTATGTGGTACTATGAAAAGTGAATCCCATATTACAATAGTAGTATTTTTCCAAAGGACTCAAGTGATTTCCTCGGGAAGCTCAATTTTTAGAAGGGAAGGTTCTTCTCTTTAGGAGAATTCTTGGTTTAAAAGAAACTGCTAGATGGCCCCCACCTCTTGGAGCCTAAGGGGATATCTATCCCTGAGTTAGCATCTGTGAACATGCGTGTGAACCAATAGCAGAGTATTTAATTGTAATTAACTCTGCCACCCCACTTTAAAGTATACATTTAAAATGCACTCTGACTGTTAATCAGTTTTTAAGGATGGAGAAAGTGAAGGTGGATAGTCAGAAGATACAAGACATAACAATTTCTCCACTCTCTTCTCTGTTATAAAGTCTTCTAATACTAGGATTTTGAATTTGAAACATAGTGCTTTTAAAAAAAAGACGTAATGCTGTAGGAGAAGGGGCTGGCTAATGGCTCTTTTTTGAAGACATCAAATTTTTAGATGGGTACTGGAAAGAGATGAGAGAATTTAATGATTCTTTAAATTGTTTTCGTTATTATTTGCTACCAGAAAATTTACTAAGTTTCACCTGAAGAAAGTCATGTAGCATATGCAATAGAGTTTAGATTATGATAAAATCAAGTGCTTTGCTTTTCTCCTCTTTAAAATGAGAATACTGATAGTATTTTTGCATAGGCTTATCCAGTATTCAATGAAATAAGCCGTGCAAAATGATTATTTAGAACAGCACCTGACCCATATATATTCAAAATATATTTTCTATGACTACTGTGATATCTGATGAAGAAAAATTAATAAATACAAAAATGGGATGCTTAGTTTAACAGTTGTTGTTTTAGTTTAATCTTCATCACATCTTAGTTTTAATACTTTGTTGAGCTTGGACAGAGTTTACTTTTGGGTAAATATATTGACACAGGGTTGTATCTTTTTTTTTCCTTACCTGCTTTATTATTTATCCTTTTCTTTTTTTGATATCTTCAATGATCATATGTTCCTGGATCTCTTCTGGATCTAATTAACTTATTTGTTCTATATTTAATTTCCTTAGAATTCTATGCCTTATAGTGAAAGAATTTTTTAAAAGTCATCAAACTTCTAAATATATTGTTCTATTTGTATTTCACTAGGGCTTCTTTAGAGGTGGTATATTAGAAGAAGGGACTGTACTAGTAAAAGCTTGGGACATAAGCAGGAAGATATTTTAAGAGCACTGTGACTTTCAGCTTCAGGACTTTGTTGAAATACCATTGTGCCCACCCATGGGACTGACAGCCACACATCCAGGAAGCAGTTTGAGGGTGCGCTTCTGGTTCCAGTTAGCCTGAATTTTGAATTCTAGCTTCAAAGTAAAGCTGGATTTCCTCAAATGAGTTATTTAACCTCACTATGCCTACATTTTTCTAGTCTACAAAAGAACAAAAAAAGACTGCTTATATCAGGGAACTTTTGTAAGAATTAAAGCTAATATAATGCAAAACACTTAGAATAATAATAAATGTTAAATATGTGTGCTTGTATAAATACTTGCTATTATTATTTCTGAAATAATCTAAATTTCAACTCTGTTTGCATAAAGTACATCTCTCATCAGTAACTAGTCCTTTGTTAAGCCAGGTGTCCTGACTTTTCCTTCAGATTCATCAAGACACTTTTCTATATGAAAGCTGCCTGTGGTAAGATAAAAAGGATCAAAGACCGACCTAAAAATCACCTAAAATTGAATTCAGACATTATGCATCGCACTTATTATTTAAGAAGGTAAGCGTATTATGATCACTATTAATAATTAAAAATTCCCCACTTCATCATAGCAAGCAACAAACAGATGCATTGCTTTCAGGGAAACTGGCACTAGCCAAGGAGTTTATGAGCAATATGCACATACATGGCCAGGAAAGGGGAGCCAAATTCCACGTGTCATTTGTCATCTCAGTAGCTCTCAAAATGAGCACAACTTATTTTTCTAACTTCTAAGTTTCTCCTCCAACTTGACTTTCTTAGTGCGTCTTTTTCTCATTTTTATTGTGCACTCAGAAAGATGAGTGATGATAAATGATTTGCTCAATCCATTAACTAAAATCACATATTTCTCTTACATCCACATTTACCACGCCTCAAAGTTTTGCCTCATTACAGACTTCCAACACCTCCGTTCCCTTGGTTTTCCATTATTTCCTGTTTTCTAGGTAACGCAGTATGTCGGTGGCCTGCTGAGCCAGGCTGTGTTGGTCTTGCTTTTAGCAGTTTGTAATTCACCTGTGGCACCCACCTGGGTAATGTGTTACTACTCTGGGTCCTAGCAGAGATTATTTCTAACAGGGATTAAATATTTATATTTGAGAAAGATGAGCAATTGTGGTTGTTCCACTTTGGGTAAAATTACAGGCCTATCAATCTTAACGCTGTGAAGCATAAAATCAGGAAGTATTTTTCCCCCCACAGAATATTGTATTGCATAGTCAGGTGCATTTTAGGAGGGATACTTCTGTCAGGGAGGAAAAGATGGAAAGAGAAACATACTAACCACAATGAATCCAATCAGCCTTTCAGTTGTGAATTCAGTGTTAGCTCATATCACGAGTTTTCGATCTCTGCCCCTGGGCACCTAGGTTGATGAATCACACCTCCCTCTTTTCTGCTGCTCCTATGCGGCTATCATTCAAGTCGCTGACATGTATCTCTATGATGGTAGGAGATACCCAGGCCGTAACTACAAGGCAGTAGGGAGAGGTTTTGGCTGTTGTTTGCAGAAAAGGATGCAGCTAGCGAGTGGATGGTTATTATCTTATCCAAGTATTTTGGCAATGGTGGAAGATTAAACCTTATTACTAGAACAACCTGAGAGACTAGACTTTTTTTCTGTTGTACTTGTTATTAAAGTTGCTAACTGACTGATTTACGGCTGACCATCTCTTTGCAATGAGAACAGTTGCAAATTAAATGCAATGCCAGTCTTGCTAGGGGAATGCTTGGCTGTGTGTTGCCCAAATACAGAGGCACCAGTCACAAGTGACTACTGAACGTGTGAAATGTGACCATTCCAACTGACTTGTGTGGAATGCACACATTATTCACAAGATTTCATAGACTTCCTATGAAAGATAGCTCATTGATTTTTGCTTATTGCATGTTGAAATGGTAAAATTTGGGAACTACATTATTAAGTATATTATTAAAGCTAGCGCCACCTGTTTTCTCTTTTTAAATACGGTCATTAGAAAATTTG